TTCAATTCAGTGCCCATTCGCTAATCAGTTGCCGTTTGGGATATAAAACACAAAACATATTTGAAGTGTAATTGTTATAATAGTTTGATAACGAGTTGTTTAATTATGGTGTAATTCATAGGAAAACAATTGTTTCCATTATTTAAGGCTTAAGGTATCATACATTTCCGAAATTCCTATTTCCATTAGACAAATGGGAGGCCTAACCGGGGGTTTAGTAGTACATCATGGACAGATATACTGTATATATGGCATAATTGGTGATAAGATATGAAAAATCATTGATCAATATACTGTAACTTTCCTATAAAATGAGTTCAATTATTGAAAAAACTCAATCAAAACTTTAGACTGAATTTTAGACTAAGTTTAGAGTCAAGTGTTGATAAAAACTTTTTTACATTAACTCTTATTTCATAATATTTTTGTTATTCTCTGCGTTTTGTCTCAACTCGTGATTAAACATCAAAGAACTGATCACTGATTTGCGCCCAAAATGAGCAAATAATGTATAATATTAGGCACACATTGATTGTGAGGACTTTCGTGATACTGTATTACCAGTGCACTTAAAAGTCACTCAATTCTGGTACTATTACTAGCAATATTTTAATGTATCTCATTATCACTCCAATCAAATAAATAATTCATTTTACAGCACATGTACCCACAGCTACCCTAATGCACTCATAAATGCAAATATTTATTTAATACCCCAACGAATAATAAAAATGCAGTCTAATTATTGTTTATTATATACGATTACAGCGAACTTAATGCACTAACAATTGGTAAATTCTACGCGTGACCTTGCTCAGTCCTAGTACAGTACATTAGTCATTGTTGCCAAAACTTTTTTATGTTTATTTTTATTCCGTATAAAGTATGCAATATACCTTTTCTATTTCACTATTATATAACTAGAATATTTTTGTTGATAAACTTTAAAATATGAAACTTATAAATAGGATATAAATGTGGTTAACCTCTTATACCTGTCATACTGTACTTGTATTGGAGTGCATTGTATAACTATGACTATGATATTCCCATGGATTCCTTACCCCTCATACAAGTTAATTATTTTACTTGTATTGCTATAAATGTATTAAGAAATTAGAAATGACACGAAAACGCATTGATTGTATGGCCAGACGTGTATGGGACCAGTGGTGGCAACGGTTGACCACTTTTAGCCACATTTACCCCAATTCTTAAATTCTGTATGACTTGCGCCCAGAATTGAAACCTTTTGGGACTTTTAAATCCAAAAGGCATGCAATGCTGACATCAATGACACTGTTTTCGCATCGGTTCGCCATTTACTGGACGTAATTGTTATGCGAAACGAGTGCTGAGTGTGTGAGCAATAAATTGAATGATATTTTTGTGTCAAATGTTAACCAAAAATATTGAAATGAAATTAAAATGACTTTTAAATGAGTTTTAAATGAGTTTTACATTCAATTCAATCACAATATTATGCATGAAATTAGTGACCAATGAATGAATGCATTGAATGAACGCGAAGAGCAATAACTGATCCAATGGCCGACCACCAGATGATCACCGATTGGATCAATTGTGGCCCTTATGTGACACAAGACCTGGAAGTGATCGAAGACGAGTCGCTTCTGGAGGCGATCTTCCGATACGTGGAGCACTCGCGCACTGATGACCAGGTATTGTCACCTCATTATCATATATACTCACCACTCATGTCTTCACCACTCATGTCTTCACGTGTCGCCAGTGTTTGGAAGGGATTTGCAATAAATTGTATTCATATTATCGCTCAAACGACGAGCGATTGGTCCGCTTCTGTCTGGCATTCATTCCTCCGCTGATTGGTGTCCACGTCGTGAACGCAACCAATTGTACGCCCAATCGTGCCGTCGATGTCCTACTTCTGGGCGTCTATAACCTGGAAGTGGTCGACAGCGAGGGCCAGCTGTTGGCGCATACATTCCGATTGATGTCATTAGCGAAGCCCTCTGTATATCACGAGCCGTCACCACATTCTTCGGCTGCGAACCAGTCCTCACTCCTCACTGAACACAACATTTCAAAGCTCGACAACATTTGCGGTGATCTCGAGATTCCACTCTTCGGTCCCTACCCTGAGGTCGAGCACATTGTCGCCCAGAATCGCATGGATGTGATCACTGTCTTAATGAAAGTCTTCAATCAAAACATTAGTTTATTAAACAAGAAATCGTTGACCGCTTTGTGTCGCATGTCTTTGAGGTATAGATCAATGGATTTCTCTATAAATTATATTTTTATTCCCTTATTATCCCTTATATTGAGTGTATTTTTCGGTAATTTATTTGCCATCATTTGATCCATTTTTAAAACTATTCTTTGACTTTATTTTATTTATGGTTCATTTGCATTGACACTAATTTCCTGAATATACGAGTCATTCCTTAAGTTTTATTATTTAAAGGGAAATAGAAATACATTTTTCTTTTTATTATACATTAAGAGGAAGTATTGTTTTCTGTATAAATATATTTAATTGTTTGACAACTAATTAATTGTTTAACGGATCACTCTTTGTGACAGACTTCTACGCCAGGGATCTATCAATATATCGATTGAAAAGTTGAATTCAGTGAATGTGAACGCATTGTTCGCTTGCAATCAATTGATTTCCAGAAATTGCACGAAAATCCCATTGAGTTCACAGTTTTTGGTGGAGATCACGAATTCCTTATATTTTTGTCTCTATAACGGGGCCACAGATCTGGCCTTAGAAGCGCTCGAAGAGATACATAACAGAGCTGTCAATCACTTATATACAGACGTTTTGCTGGTATTATACGTGAATTTGTGAAATATGTTGTCAAATGACTCATAAATGTGTGTTTCATTGTTAAAACAGATGACAAATGCAATCAGAAATTCCCTTTTGATAAACTCGGGTCAGCCCTCCGACGGACCGATGGGTATAAACGTGGCGCTGTCGCCCACATCCAGCACTACGTTAACGACCACAGGAATGGCAAAGATAGCCATCACTAACGCCTCGTTCAAGACTCGCAAACTTCCGGATGACATTCCAATAGTGGCCAACACTCAGAGCGCCACAAACCTCGGGTCCAACCAATTGGGATCCATTAACGAGGAGTCGGAGGATACCAAAGAGACCACTGAGAAGCCCAAGAGTGCCATAAAGGGTGTGACGTCAGGCATCGGCAAAATGAATGTCATTCAGAAGCTTAAAGATATCAAAGACAAGAAAAAGGAGACGAATGTCGCGCATAAGAGCTCCAAATATCAGACGCAGACGTCTCTGAAGTCAGAGAACGGCGATGTCGTCAATAAGCTGTTGACTCACGAGGACAGTAGCAATGATTACGGGTCCGACACGTCCGGCATATCAGACACTAAACTATCGTTTTCTGAAGAGGCTATACCTCTGAGTGTATTGAACACAAACAAAGCTTACTTCGACACCAATGAGGACAACGCCAGCGAATCCAGTGCTGAGAGTCGGAACAGCTCTGAGACCGCAAAAGTGCCTCTCGTTAGTGTCAACTCCGAGTCCGCTCTCAATCCCAATAAACATAATAATAATAACGAAACTTCTGTTAACGTCTAATAAAAATGACTTAATATTTATAATAATTGATGAGAAAAGCAATATTTAACTCAAATTTTAAAATAGATTTTTAGTTCCTATTACTCAATAGATTTAAGGATTCGTTAATCACTTGAAAATCAAATGTTATTTACTGTCAAGTAATCAATCAATTGAAGGAACGATACGTTTTTTGATTCAAACGAATTTGAGTTGTACTGAATGTGTGCCACAAAAATATCGGTGCTTTAAAACCAAATATATTAATTAAATAGTGAAACACATAATCGATAATCCATTCAAATTCTCGGTGTAATTATAATATATTGTGAGTCATTGTATCTCTCATATAATAGTTGTAAATAATATTTTAAATTTTTTTGTTTTAAATTTATTGAAATAAAAGATTTTCAATTCATTCGCTTTTCACTGAATTTATTTTGAAAGGAATGACTGAATAAATAAACGATTTGTTAAGTCAAACAAAATATAAATATAAAAATTATCTTAATTTCATTGCATTTTTTGTCTAATTGTTATCACAACTCGTCTTTCAATAGTGTGTATCGATTCCTCGATGGCGCCAACTTTGCGAATGTCGACTCTGGAGGACTTGTCTGACCGCCCTTTCCATCACAAATCAGTGTTAATTACGATACAAACGAAATATATATTGTGTTTATATCACTTACTTGTGCTTGAATTTCATTGGTTACGGGATCGGGTCCGAAGTGGAACTCCCGGTGAAGTTTCCCAGAATATAAGTCTTGTAAGAATTGTTTTACTTTTCCCGGTATTCTACACATTTATACCCAAAAAAATGAGTCAATTGTTTGCGACAATAAAATCACGAAAAACATGTCTTACAGAACGTCCTGAAAGTCGGGAAACAAATACATGTGTCTGAAGCTGTCGATTGCAATCAGTGGTAAGTCTTTCTGAGTTTTGCCCAAATGGTGTAATGGATGCGCGAATTTGAGTCCGTCAGCGATCAAGAAGTTCACGTTTCCTGACTCTGACAGCAGTTCCGTCTGAACCACTTTCGTGTAGATATCAATACTATGCTTGTCGTCGGGCGCGTGGAATAATATGACGAATGGCAGACCTTCTTCGGTGAGCTCTTCGGCGTTCTCGAAGGTTATCTCCCGAACCAGAGGAATGCACTTATCGGTAGCCCATGTACTCAACTCGTCGTAACTTTGAAGGACTCCGGGATATGACAAGTCGTTGACATTAGGCTTAGTTCGCGACGGTTTGAAGAGAACCGACAGCGACTTGCCGTCCGTAAGGTGCGAGTGGGAGGGGTCGCCGGTCACCCAATAGAAGGAGCAGTCGTCACGTAAATCGATGGCAACCTTTCGGTATATATTATAGTCTTGTATTGTGTTGGGAAGGGCCGACGAATACGCGATTAACGAGCCCTTCGTTTCGTCGATTTTGTTGAATTCGTCAAAATTTTCGATGTGTTTAATCGGATCCTTCAGGAGGTCTCTCACGTGTTGGACAATGGCGTCAGCGCTGCGCTGTCCACGAAATTCACGTTTCATTGTCTTTCCGTTCATTAATAGCTTAAGTGTCGGGTATTTCGAGATATGAAAGCGCGTCCCCAAAGTGGCTGTCATTTAATCGCAACAAATAATCATTAATACAACACATAAAACACTCGTTACGGTAATATCAGGGTATAAATGAATGGTAACTGACTTTCATGTTCACAGTCCACTTTGCCAAAAAGCACACGTCCCGGTTCCTAACCATGCAATCAATGAGATAATTGTCATAATCAGAGACAGTGAGTGTCAGGCATTCATACCGGAAACTCTTCGAGCACTTTGGTGTAGGACTCCTCGAAAACCGGGGCTAATATTTGACTGAATCGACACCAATCGGCGTAAAAGTTTAGAAAAACCAATTCATACTTCTCTGTCATTTCGGATGATAAGTGGTTTTGTGACATAACATGACATATGGTTTCAATAATCAGTAAATGGTTAAGCAATGCATATGTAATGGCAACTCACGAGTGTATTCATCAAAATTATTGGCATTCAATTGAACGACACTTGGATTGGCGGCACCGGACGCCGGCATTAAACACAATATAAGGCATCGAAGGTTATCTCCCGAACCAGAGGAATGCACTTATCGGTAGCCCATGTACTCAACTCGTCGTAACTTTGAAGGACTCCGGGATATGACAAGTCGTTGACATTAGGCTTAGTTCGCGACGGTTTGAACAGAACCGACAGCGACTTGCCGTCCGTGAGGTGCGAGTGGGAGGGGTCGCCGGTCACCCAATAGAAGGAGCAGTCGTCACGCAAATCGATGGCAACCTTTCGGTATATATTATAGTCTTGTATTGTGTTGGGAAGGGCTGACGAATACGCGATTAACGAGCCCTTGGTTTCGTCGATTTTGTTGAATTCGTCAAAATTTTCGATGTGTTTAATCGGATCCTTCAGGAGGTCTCTAATGTGTTGGACAATGGCGTCAGTGCTGCGCTGTCCACGAAACTCACGTTTCATTGTCTTTCCGTTCATTAATAGCTTAAGTGTCGGGTATTTCGAGATATGAAAGCGCGTCCCCAAAGTAGCTGTCATTTCATTGCAACAAATAATCATTAATACAACACATATAAAACACTCGTTACGGTAATATCAGGGTATAAATGAATGGTAACTGACTTTCATGTTCACAGTCCACTTTGCCAAACAGCACACGTCCCGGTTCCTAACCATGCAATCAATGAGATACTTGTCATAATCAGAGATAGTGAGTGTCAGGCATTCATACCGGAAACTCTTCGAGCACTTTGGTGTAGGACTCCTCGAAAACCGGGGCTAATATTTGACTGAATCGACACCAATCGGCGTAAAAGTTTAGAAAAACCAATTCATACTTCTCTGTCATTTCGGATGACATATGGTTTCAATAATTAGTAAATGGTTAAGCAATGCATATGTAATGGCAACTCACGAGTGTATTCATCAAAATTATTGGCATTCAATTGAACGACACTTGGATTGGCGGCACCGGACGCCGGCATTAAACACAATATAAGGCACTGGATGTTAGGGATGAGATCACACTATCGGTTAGACACTGACTGACACAACCATTGCATCCAAATTCTTACCCAAACTACGAAACCATCGATTGATTGCAAAAATGCTTTTCTCATCACATGAAGAGACGTCTTGAGAAACATTTTGTACGAAATACTGATTTATATATTATGTCTATAAACGAGTCAATTGTATGGATAAGTGGGATGTGTTTCAGTGGACATCCAATTGAGCGCACATCCAATACAGTGAACACTAAGTTAACCACAACTTTGATGATGGGATCACAAGATATTTGATGAGACGATGGGTTGAGAGGAGAGACACTAATCTGAGAGCAAAACAACAAACAAATGAGTGAAAGGTCTGTGGAGTGAAAGCCGGACCCAAAACGAGAGCGAAATTCTCGCGAAACGAGTGTTTGAAGCGATGAATGAATGCATCAAATCATACCTAAAATGCTGTGAAATACGTGTAACTAATGTTAGACAGGATTTCAATGGCTTTTCTCATATGATTGTATGAAATCTGCAAAAATAGTCATGAATTGCATTGAATTGTATGAGAAATCTATTGTAAAATACAGTTTTGACTATAAATTACGGATTCATTAGTAGATTTCAATCATACCTTTCAAACGGCTGTCGATTTCACACCGAAACCAGAGTTTTGTTTACGATTTGTCGGCTTTTTATGGCTTTTTGTATGAATTTTGCGATGTTTTCAGCGCTGGTCTCATGAGATAACGATTACACGGATTACGGTTAATGTAAACACAGACCAAATGATTAACAGATGAAATGAACAGACAATCCGATTGCCATTCAATGCCTATAATTTGCACATAACTTATGATTCAATGCAAACCATTTGAATGGACTGCAAGTGTTATGCAATCAACCATTCAATGCATTCATACATGAGATAAAAGCGAAAATGACAGTACAGTCAACACTATGTATACTATACGCCATCAAATCAAACGCATAACACTTACAATTTCTTTATAAGGATTTTATGTGATTATTTTACTGACCTTGCTAAGCTGATTGTAAATACTCATTAATTATATCGTAAGTTTTATGCATTTTATTTGATGGCGTATAGTATAGATAGTGTTGACTGTATTGTCATTTTCGCTTTTACGGTATGGAGTGTATGAATGCAATGCTGCCATCCGTTCACTCATTTTGTAACCCTATTTGTGATTCACTCCACAATTGCTATCAATAAATGTTATGAAAACATGTGATGTAATGGTTGTGACACTACTGTTGACACTACTATAGGCAACACAACACATAACACAGCGATTAGTTTGCGAGACATTTGAGTGATTGAGTGATTGAGTGACCGCGAAATGGATTTGCCTAACATTAAGGGGTTGCTGTCGATGGACACCATCGGCACCACCGATGACAACGATATGGATGCCGATGACAATGAGGAAGACCTGGACGAAGAACTGAACGCTATATTGAGTGGACAGACGTATATACCGAAGAATAAACAACACAAACAGACCACCAGTTCATCGGCGGTCAACACGAAACNAAACAACACAAACAGACCACCAGTTCATCGGCGGTCAACACGAAACGAGTCAAACAAATGGATGTAAAGCAGGCTAAGAGTCAGAGGACATCCAGGAGTGACCACAAGCTGTCCGATAACCCCAACAACGAGGGACAGGTTTTTTCCAACGATTTATTAAATATCGAGAAATTGGGAATAATTGGTGACTCGGATGAAGACGATTCAGACATCGATGAGAATGACGAACAGTTTCTGTCGGAAATCCATTCAATCGCTTCCGAGGCTAAGCCATCGGAAAGGAAACCGCAGAAGCAATCGGTGACCACAAGTGCTGCGAATAGAAGTGACCACAAAATGCCACAAACTATTGGTGCCGACAATCAAAACCTGATTTCATTTGCGACACATCGCGAGAAACCAATGAATCCACAGATTAGAGACGATATGTTTAAATCTAATTCATCAAGCACAGGCACAGGCACTACAGATTCTGGCACTAGTGTCCATCAGCCTATTGATGTGAATAAACCCAAAGAAGTTGATAATAGCGATGATATATCAAAACTGAAAGCACTGACAGATGACTACAAAAAAGCTGCCCTTTTGGCCAAGAAGTCAGGCCAAGTGACCACTGCTTTATCGTACGTCAAGACAGCAAAGGTTTGTATGACTCGTAATATTGCCAACAATTGAATGAATTGACGATTTCTTGTTTGACAGCAAATTGAGGTGTTATTGAAGGCCTTAGAAGAAGGGAAAGCCGTGGATTTGTCTCATTTACCACCGCCTCCACCATCGACCACATTAAGCCCATCAACGCCTCAAACAAGTTCTCAAACCACTGCTAATGAAGAAACTGATGATCCGTCCGAAGACACTGTGGTTGAGTTGACTACAGAAGACGCCAAGAAGTTCTTCAACGCTCCGCCGCCGCCCAACACTGTTATGGAAGCGTTGGAACAAAGGTTAGCTAAATTCAAGTCAACCTTAGATGAAGCGAACCGCGAGAGCAATGCGAGTAAAGCCAGACGTTTGGGAAGAATTGTCAAACAATACGAAAATGCAATCAAAGACTTCAAAAAAGGCAAAGCTATGGACTTTGAAGAGTTGCCGACCCCTCCAGGTTTTGGACCCATTCCTCCGATGAACTCAACGGTTAAGACTCCAGACAAACCTTCGGCTCCGATCAATAGCCCTTCGAAACAACAAATAGCACCAAAACTCGTTGCATCTAATGTTACCAATAAATCAGACAATAATACCGACATTCAGGCAAAGGAGGCACCCGTCAAGTCGAGTCCCACTCCACCCAAAGGCACTCATAAGCCTAATCTGAAGAGAGCGTCTTCGACAGCAAACAAACAATTAAATTATTTGTTGGAAAGACAGCGACTGTTCAAAGAGGCGGCCCTCGAGTCCAAACAGAAGGGAGACATACAACAGGCCAAAGAATACCTGCGAATGGCAAAGGGTTTCGAGCCTCTGATAGAGGCCACACAAAACGGACTCCCAATCGACGCCACGTCTATACCCACTCCGCCGCAAATGAGCGACGATTTCGTGATTGTCTCGCATCCGGACTCTTCACAAGTGGATGACTTAGAGAAAGAAGAGATGTTTCGAAAAATTGAAGTCGAGTTACAAAATCAAATTGAGGTGTGATTTGAATGAATGAATTTAATGTTGCGATTAGAGATTGTACTATAATTTGATTGATTTGTCGATTCAATAGATGTGTAAAAGAAATAAAGACTATTTCATGCAATTGGGAGACATATCCACGTCATCCAAGTTTGAGAAGTACGCCGTCGATAGCCGTAAAGACTTGGATGTATTGACAGCGCGGTGGCGAACGGGTCATAGAGTGCCTCACTTTAAATACGAGACGCGGACCTTCTCTATAGTGATTTGCAACACAGAGGTGACCACCAATGAGGTGACTGTGGAAGTGGTGAAAGCAGTGGATATTCCGGGTAAAGCTGATATCGATACTTATGTGAGAATTGAGTTTCCATTCCCTAATGTAAGTGAAAGACATGACACCATTTGTTGTCAAACTCTTGTCACAAGCATTTGTGATCTGAAACAGGATAACAGCCCATCCGCGCGAACAAAGACTGTCAAAAACAGTGTGAATCCAGGTTTGCATCTCTATTGCTATACTCACTCTAACTGTAAGTATTGTGCACTTCATAATGAAATGTATTTGTTTTGTTCATAAGTATTCAACGAGACGTTTAAATTCGAGATCGACCGCAAGTCGAGACAATTGCCCCGAACCTTCAAAAGGCATCCCTTGAAACTGGAACTCATGTCCAAAGGGTATTACATTTACATTGATATAACTGAATGAATGAAGTGTTCATTGTTTTCCCCATTGAAGTGGATTCCTAAGGAGCGATGCACTGATAGGGACGGCTCTCATCAAGTTAACTGATTTTGAGACCAAATGTACAATTCATGAGAGCTTTGCGTTGACTGAAGGCAGGAAAGCAGTGGGCGGTCGGGTAGAGGCTAAGGTCCGCATCAGAGAACCATTGCTCGCAAAACAAGTGGAAGAAGTGAAAGAGAAATGGCTTGTATTCGTCTGATCACTGATTATTTATTTATGTTTTTATATGAAACATGTTTTTATTTGTAAAATTGACATCAAATTAAATTATTCATTCAATAACGAATCGCCCGTTTAGTCTTACGGTATTGTACTGTATATACCGGTAGTATAATTGAAAATGAAATGAAAATGTATTTATGTGTTCATAAAATTACTTTTAATACAATTCGCAACATTTTTGTGAAATACATAGAAAATGATAGTTTTAAACTCACAATAAGTTCAAAATACCTTTAATTAACAAAAATTTTATTCAAAAATTTAATCTTAAATACAATATTATAGTGTTTTGTACGAAACAAATGTGAATCAAATGAATAAGTAATATAATAATGAGACACCAAATGGTGTCTTAAATGACATTCAATTAAAACTAAAAGCAATTAATTGATTAAAATACAGAAATGATGCGAAAATACGCTAAAACTACTAAAAGTATAGACATCTGCGACGAGACCAAGACATAGGACTCGGCGATGGACTGACTGTGCGTTTGTGTCACTGAGTGGTGGGCTCTTCAAAACTTACAGTCATATGAATCACTAAATTATAAGGTATGGTATGGAAAGGGATGTCCTGTGAATGGGATGTGAGATATGATTGGAAAGTCTAGTGAAGACATAATTACTGCTATTATTACGGCTCCTGAGTGTCAATACCATGTCATACACTACCCCTACATTTGTGTAGTATATTGTGTGCTAAGCATTGCGTTCGCTGTAAATGTTGACCAATGAAGTGATAACAGGTGTATGTTTGGAGACAACCCCTAAACCCTCACATCTATTGCCTCTTTGGGCGCAATATTTCCCGCGTTTTGAGCTCTCATTGAAAGACAAGTCAATTGTCTGCGAGTTTGCAGTGAAAGCACATCCACTCCAGTGTCCAGTCTTTGTGAACACATCCAACACATCCATAGCCAACATGTTTGAGGCGCGACTTATTCAGGGAAGTATTCTCAAGAAGATATTGGACGCCATCAAAGACCTGGTGACCGACGCCTCCTGGGATTGCAGTCCGAACGGCATGTCTTTGCAGGCGATGGACACGAGTCACGTCTCACTCGTCTCCGTCTCTCTCAATAGCGACGGTTTCGACAAATACCGGTGCGATCGCAACCTCACGCTCGGCATGAATCTCATCAGGTATATAGTGGCCCCACATCATCACTTGATCCCATTGTCGCCAATGTGTGTTTGACGCCATTGTCTCCCTCTCGACAGCCTCTCGAAGATAATCAAATGCGCGGCCAATGACGACACGATTATCATCAAAGCGGGCGATGGCGGCGACAAAATCACGCTTCTCTTCGAGGCTCAGAGTAAGTGATGACTAGTTTTGCGCCACTTTTGCCACAAATGTATGACCTCTTTGTCTCTCCCGTCGTGCGCCACATCCAGACGAGTCAGAAGTGGCTGAATATGAGATCAAACTCATGAATCTGGACTCAGAATACTTGGGAATTCCGGTGAGTAGTGACTGCTTCGGGATGTGTTTGAGTGACGGGTGTATTGACTCCTGTGTGTGATTGTCTCCTTCAGGACACCACGTATAACGTGACCATCAAAATGCCGTCCAATAAGTTTCAGCGCATTTGTCGCGATTTGTCGCAAATCGGAGACGCGGTGACCATCTCTTGCGCTAAGGATGGCGTCCGGTTCGG